GTCAGCACCTGACTGGACTGTCAGCACCTGACTGGACTGTCAGCACCTGACTGGACTGTCAGCACCTGACTGTCAGCACCTGACTGGACTCTCAGCACCTGACTGTCAGCACCTGACTGGACTGTCAGCACCTGACTGTCAGCACCTGACTGTCAGCACCTGACTGTCAGCACCAGACTGTCAGCACCCGACTGTCAGCAGACGCTGTAAACAAATGTCAGCAGCGACAGAATAAGATGTTTGAAAATGACAGATTTGGAAAATGTTTATGTTCACAACCCACACACTCAGCTCATCCCACAGATTCATGTTCCTTACAAATGTGGCACAATTTAAAAGGGAAATTAACAGGTTTTCTAAAGATATAAGATTTATTGCCACGAAGCATTGTTACAACAAAAAGAATCTACCAAACACAAATTTACTTAATTTTGTGTCGTTAGTATTGTTTGGTGTCAATTAGATCAATAAAAATCTAATTTTATAAAAACTAATACATGTAATTATTAGAGCTGTGTTATCTAGTAAGTTGTTCTTGAGTCAGATTGTTTTGTTTGAAATGAACAAAGCTTCATCCAGCAGATGACTGAAACAACACCTGAGTCTCCTGTTCTTCACAGCAGGACTCTTTTTCTTCTGTTCCTCTGACTTCCACCTGAGGGCGCTGTTCAGTTGTTTGTCATGAAACACTGTCACCTGGAGAGCTGCAGTGTTTTTAAGTCCTGTCACTACATCTCACAATTAATGTTATTACAAAATATAATCAGCATTATTGAAATAAAACCATAAGTAGTTGTGTAGATGTGTACAAATGCAGTGTGTTATTGTAATTTCCTTTGGGATTAGTAAAGTATCATTCATTCATTCATTAAACACTGAGATGTAAACAGGAAGTAGTGTTGAGTGTTGTATCACTGACTGGTTGTAAGGTTTGTGTATCAGAATGAAGATGAAAGTCTGACAGTGTCTCTGCTCAGACAACAGGAAGTGAGACTTTAGCTCTGATTTGAACCAGGTGTTCAGTTCTGACTGACCCGGTACAACTGGGTTAACCTGCCCACCCACACTGATTCACCCTGACCTTTTACAGCTAACACACACACACACACACACACACACACATCATGCTACTAAACTAGTGCTGGTTCCTGTTTCTGTGAGACTGAAGCTGAAGACCATGCACACACTGAGCTACAGGACCTGACAGTTCCTCAGTAACAGTGCAGACAGGTCCAGAGTCAAACTGTCACTGCTGTTCCTCAGCTTCATCCTGCAGGCTTACAGTCACATAATCCACAGCTGTGGACTCAGTGAAGTGAAGCTGATTTAATCTGAGCTCATGAGGTGGTCCTCGTGTCTCAACCAATCACACGGAGCAGAGAACACCTTTCAGGTTGGTCCAGATGTTTGGATGAGCAGGAACAGATGTGCTTGAGGCTCAGGAAGCAGGAGGAGCCTGACGTGTTCTCCTGCAGCCTTCTGGGACAAATGTCCACATCCTGAGTCAGATTAAACAGAGAGGTCTGTCTTATCTTTGATTTCACTAAATGTCAAAAATTTTTTATTCTTGTGTCTTCTGGAAAACTTCCAAGAGATATTTTACTACGTTTTACTGACAGTACTGTTCACATGTCTGACTTCAGTGTACTGAGTAAACAGAAATACTTTGTTAATATTCATAAAAACTATATAAAAATCATATCAAGCACACAGGCTGAGCTCCTAAAGGAACATTGGATGGAAAATAAAAAACATGGCAGAGTAAATGAGTTAGTACAGTACACATTAATCAACATTACCACAGTACATGGCAGAGTAAATATGTAAGAGTTAGTACAGTACACATTAATCAACATTACCGCAGTACATGGCAGAGTAAATATGTAAGAGTTAGTA